ATTGTCATGAATGAAGTTGAGCTGTTAGAGAGTAGATGAACAAAAACGTAACTTGATCAGTTTGTTTCAATGTTCAAAATTTCGATGATTCACATGAACTGTATACAAGTCCAAACATTTGTCCTTCAATCGGGTAGTAGTAAAAACTAGGAAATTAGTTCTATGTCCTAGCAAGAAACGTTTACAAGTAAATTTTAAAAAGTGCGTTCCTCTTACAGTTCTCACGTTATCATTGTTGCAGATGTTGATGAACATTACCATCCTTTTTCAGCTGGCCGCCGATTCTGCTTCAAATGGACATCACAATGTTCATTTCACTACAAACCTTTTACTAGGAGACGTTGACGCTTGCTTGGAATCTTTAATTGCGTGGGTGCAGTTTTTATTATTTGATTATGGTAATGCGTTTAACAAAGCTGCTTCATTCAGAACTGATCGTATACCAGAAGCTGCATTCTTTGCTCGCACTCATTGTCCTTCTCAACTGCAAAGAATTATGCGCCTATGGAAAGAGAAGGCAGACCGCGTGCAAAAAAATACAACTAGAGTTAGTTCTTTTTGTTTCAGATTCGTGCATTATTGTTGACTTGTTCTTACAGAAAATTGGTGAATCGTTGGCGGATCCTGGTAAATACGAGAATTTATTTCCGGAGTGGGCAGCTTCGCAAAAGGCTGAATCCTATCTTCGCGAGCTTTCAAAACTCGCTGTTCCAGCTTCAGTCCGTGCTCCAACAAATGCACAAAGAAATGTTCAAGAAGAACTTGAAACAGCATTAAACACAGGTGAATCTACATGAATTCCAATCAAGAATCACAGAAAATCTTATTTGGAGCGTTGCGCATATTATCGGTTTAGGTGCTGTTACATTCGATGAAACAGGTCAAGCTCATCTCCGTGGTACATCTCGAAAGTCAGCTTCTTCAGTGAATTCAGCCCAATCCAAGCTTAGTCCCACTCCCGCTGCCACATTAGCTGCTGCCGCTGTTGCTGCTCCCTTGGCTGCAGAAGTTACTCGAAGACGGACACCTTCTCCACCTCATAGAGAACCAACTCCGGAACCTGAACAAGAAAATGGGAGACAGGTGGTTGGTCCAATTGTAATTTGTTTTCATACACTCGATAGTCAGAGTGTCTAGTCCAAATAAAAAAA